AGCAGCTGTCTGCTACACGCCTGTTCCTGAGGCGCCAAACTGACACTTGGGAAGAAGATGGTACGACGGAGCTCGAAACGCAGCTGAATCCATTTTTCCTGGATTCGTGTTTCCATCCTTAGTGTGTGGGGTGAGGTTCTTTGGCCAGCGACTTCGGAAATATGGTTTCGATCGGACGGCTCCGGAGTTCCAGCCGCGGGCAGCATCACAGTGTTTGTAAACCTTTGTTTCGGAGCGTCTGGTTACAGCCCAGTTGCTGTACGACTCTTAGTTGGCAGCGTATCAAAATTTTGTTCATGATCAAGACAGTTCGATTGCGTCGTTACGAGCGGTCTTGGATCAATTTGCAGTCGATGCCCAGCCCATTCCGTCGGATTCCTCTTCTGTCGCATCGGGATCGTCACGCGAGGAGTTTGCAGGTAATTATACGGAATACTCTCGTCTTCAATGGTAGGGGAAGTTCTACTCTGAAACAAATCGCCCGTGCCTATATCTAGGGCAAGCTTCATGATACCACTCAACGGATTGGCGGTCGAATACAGAAAACGTTGGGATAACATCGTTCTACTATGTCACGTTCGATTGTTAGCGCTCTACCGTTCATACGATTTCTGAAGTGGTGACAGAGTCCCTTCCAGGTCCAGGTATGCCAAAGAAAACACGGATGTCCCAATTCGAACACATGTATGAGAAGGTCTCTACGCTGTCGGATGGGGCTGAAGCAAGCATGGGTTCATTGTCACCTCTTGGCAGACCGGGCAACACAGACACGTCGAGCAGATTGTTAACGCCATGCGTGAAGAGCAGGATCGTTTCCATGCCATCGAGGCGCAGCTGGCGCTCTTCTGGCAAAAACTGGACGGCACCACCGCCGCGCCGCCTCACATGCAGTCGAGCAGCCGTGGGCTCAGAGCTCGTGCCTCGAGCACTACGAGTGCGGGCGCCGCCATTGGAACTGTTTGTCGCTGCGGACGTGACTATCATAGGCGAGAGTGTGTCGTGTTTCATCCGAATGAGCGGTTGTTCGACGAACCCCGTGTGCAGCCAGGCGGGACTGGTGCGCATCCGCAGGCAGTCTCTTTTATCGGCGCGCATCCGCGCATCGAACCGAAAGCGAAACCAATCGACGATTCCAAGTTTGACAATCTGGACATAGATGACACCGCGGACGACCTCACGCAACACTTTCTGGGTGGCATCCTCCGGGAAGGCTTGAAGGGCGACGAGCTTCCGCCTTTCCTTGGGGTGGACTAGTCGCGGGTCGTCAGCACCATTCTGCAGTTTACGTGCATTGGAGCTTCTGTTCAAGGGGTTCCTGCCTTCGTTCAGTCTCCGTGAAGCGGAGGGCCGGATATCTCTCGAGGTTACGAAAGCGAGCATCTTCCGAACGCTGTGCATCTTCCTCCTCGTCCGCTTCCTTCCTCTTCCCCCCCCCGGGCGCGCTTTTGCGAGTTCCACGACCCGCTCTCGCGAGGCGGAGAGGCGGCGGGCGCGAGAAGTTACCCCGCGCGCTTCCGAGGCTCAGCTTTGCCTGCGCCTCCTCCGGCCAGGAACGAGCAGACAGCGGTCCCAACCCCATACCTTCCACCACATTCAGTCAGGCACACCAAGGCCCTGACCAGGTAGTGGAGTTACATGGATGTAACCCACTTGTTCCCCTGCTCCTCCTCCTCCTCCTCCTCCTCCCCCTCCTCCTCCTCCTCCTCCTCCTCCTCCTCCTCCTCCTCCTCCTCTTCCCGCTCCCCCTCATCCTTCTCCTATTCCTCTTTCTCCTCCTCCTCCTCCTCCTCCTCCTCCTCCTCCTCCTCCCCCTCCTCCTCCCCCTCCTCTCACTCCTCCTCCTCCTCCTCCTCTCGGCAATGCCAGACACGAAGGAAACCAGGGGCAGGGCGGAGGCCGCGGCGCCGCCGCCGTCCGCGCCGTCGCCGTCGCCAGCGCTCCCCGCCGCAGGGCTGTTGCCGTCCGCCGCCTCGTCGCCGCAGCTCCGCCGGCCCACCGCCCGCGGCGGCCCGCCATGCCGTGGGAGGGCCCCGGGTGGGCGGCGGGCAGCCCGGGCGGCGGGCAGCCGCAGCTGGGGGCGGCGCAGTGGGGACGCGCCAGAGACCCCGCGGAGGCCTGTGTGCGCTTCGTGGGCGGAAGGGGGGGCGTCCATCCTCCCTTGTTGTTTTTCCTCCTCCTCCTCCTCCTCCTCCTCCTCCTGCTCCTCCTCCTCCTTCTGCTGCTCCTCCTCCTCCTTCTCTTATTCCTGTTTCATCTCCTCCTCCTCCTCCTGCTGCTCCTGCTTATCCTCCTCCTGGGTCCTGCTCCTGCTCCTGCTCCTCCTCCTCCTCCTCCTCCTCCTCCTCCTCCTCCTCCTCCTCCTCCTCATCATCATCATCACATCATCCCCATCCTCCTCCTCCTCCTCCTCCTCCTCCTCCTCCTCCTCCTTCCTCCTCCCGCCCCCCTCATCCTTCCCCTATTCCTCTTCTCCTCCTCCTCCTCCTCCTCCTCCTCCTCCTCTTCCTCCTCCTCCTCCGCTGCTCCTGCTGTTCCTCCTGCTCCTTCTTCTCCTCCTCCTCCTCATCATCATCCTCCTCCTCCGCCTCCTCCTGCTGATCCTACTCCTCCTTCTCCTCCTCCTCCTCCTCGTGCTCCTCCTCCTCCTCCTCCTCGTCCTGCTCCTCCTCCTCGTCCTCCTCCTCATCCTCCTCGTCCTCCTCCCGCTCCTCCTCCTCCTCCTCCTCCTCGTCCTCCTCCTCTCTTGTTTGTTTCTTGATGTGCGTATTTCCAGTTCCAGTATTACTTGTACGTTCAGCAGTCGCGTTTTTGTTCATACGATTTCCAGTATCCCAACTAAGTTTGCCCTACAGGAGTCCTAGCTCATCATACGCAATCGGTCTTTAGCACCCTCCCACACCCCCTTTTCCAATGGCACACCCCCTTTCCAATGGCACCACCCTCCCCCCCCCCTTTTGCCAATGGCACCCCCCCTTATTTCCAATGGCACCCCCTAGCTACTTCCAATGGCGAGCCCGATGGATTCCTATGGATTACTGTGAGTCGCTTGCCCTTGCTTGCTCGTTCGTGCTCTTGCGTGCTTGCTCTTGCGTGCTTGCTATCGCTTGCTCTCTCTTGCTTGCCCTTGATCGCTGGTTCTTGCGTGCTTGCTATTGCTCGCTTGCGCTTGCTTGCTTCCGCGTGCTTGCTTGCGCTTGCTTGATGTTGTTCCTCCCGTCCTCCGCCCGTCCTGCTCCCGTCCTCATTTCGTCCTCCTCCCATCCTCCTCTCGTCCTCCTCCTGTCCTCCTATCTATGTGGGGCTAACGCTGGCTGATTTTAACATTACCATTGTCAGCACCCGTACCATTATTATTGTGGCGATTATGTACCTTCAGACCTTAAGAGTCTGGTTTTATAAGTTGCTGAAACATCCATATGATTAATATGACTAGTGATACTGTCAGTATCCGCGTCATTACTAGCATTACTAGTCGTAATGCTGTTAGTCTTGTGATTAGTAGTAGTTGCAGTCGTATCCATATTCTCATATTTACAGCAGCCAGCGTCGACTCCAGATCGATAGGAGGACAGGAAGAGGACGAGAGGAGGATGGGAGGAGGACGAAAGGAGGACGGGAGCAGGACTGGAGGAGGACGAGAGGAATAAAACCAAGCAAGCGCAAGCAAGCAAGCGGAAGCAAACAAGCGCAAGCGAGCAATAACAAGCAAGCAATAGCCAACGATCAAGTGCAAGCAGGCAAGGGTAAGCAAGAGCAAGCAAGCGATAGCGACCACGCAAGAGCAAGCAAGCGATAGCGACCACGCAAGAGCAAGCAAGCAAGAGCACGCAAGAGCAAGCAGGGCAGGCGACTCACAGGAATCCATAGAAAACCATCGGCCTCGCCATTGGAAGTAGCTGGGGGGTCCCATTGGAAAAAAGGGAGGGAGTAGGAGATGGACGGGGGACCGAGGAAGAGGACAGAGGAGATGAAGGGGGAGGAGGAGGAGGAGGAGGAGGAGGAGGAGGAGGAGGAGGAGCAGCAGCAGCAGGAGCAGGAGCAGGAGGAGGAGGAGGACGAGGAGGACGAGGAGGACGAGGAGGACGAGGAGGACGAAGGAGGACGAAGGAGGACAAAGGATGGAGGACCGAGGAGAGGGCGGAGGACCGAGGAGGGGCAGGAGGAGGAGGACCAATGTAAAACCAAGAATCATCAACGATGTTGGAATCAACCCTCCCTCCAAGCTCCCTCTGTATGGGCATTTCCATTGAGGGAACTGCCTCGTTGGAAGACAACCGCTTGAAGATCCTGAAGCATGCCAAAACATTGCTCTCGAGATCATAACGCCGCGTATCAGCCTGACTGCTGCGTCTTGACAACCTGGAATCGTGCCAGAGCGCCATGTTTGGGACTGCAACACCGCGAATCAACATAACTGTTACACCCGCTTAATCCTGAATCTTTCCAAAACACCATATCTGCTACGCTGACCATGGAAATCCGTGAAATATCAGCAATGTTTGAAAACGAATGTACGCGGCGCTACGGCGAGAGCCACATGTTGAAAAAGAACCGCCCTCAATCCGTGAAGCTCTTGTCAATGTTTAAAATTGTGCGCGGCGCGCAGGCGAGAGCCACATTTTGAAAACCAGCCGCCCTCAATCCGTGAAGCTCTTGCAAATGTTTAAGACGAATGTGCGCGGCGCTAAGGCGAGAGCCACATTTTGAAAACGACCCGCCCTCAACCCGCGAAGCTCTTGGGGCTTTTTAAAGCTTCAGAGTCATAAGCGGTGAAGAAGTCTCAGGCGAAACGCCTGGCCCGCCCTAAAATTAAGATTGGCCTCGGGGTGCGACATGGATAATTCATATATAAGGAGAAGGGATGGATGATGATGATGATGATGATGATGATGATGATGATGATGATGATGATGATGATGATGATAATGAGGAGGAGGAGGAGGAGGAGGAGGAGGAGGGTGAGGAGGACTGTGGGCCAGCGATCGCCCTGCAGCGAAGAGGTCGATGCCACCATTTCCGCGGAGATCGAGTGCGTGGGCGGGCTCCTGGACAGCCTGCTGGCCGGCGCCGGCAGCGCCCGCGGCGGCCACTGCCAGGCCAAAATTGGTGGACTAAGAATTCCAAAATATTTTTTCTCCATCGGAGACACTTGGGCGCCTAGAAAGTTCATGCCCCTTCGCACGGTGGTTCGCATACGGCGCGAAGGCGAGCACCCTCGCATGCTCTTGCGGAAGAGCCGGGGACTGGTGGGCTAAGGCTGAGGGTTGCGGGGCTAGACCGAAAGCGTAATGTTTCGCGCTGGGGGTTCACCATGGCTCCCTAGACAGTAAGTCGGGGGCGGAAAAGAAGGAGGTGATGACTAGGGGGGGGGGGATATCATGGCGTGGGCCATGATATTTCCCCAGATTTCAGGGCTCCTCTTCTTATTTCATTACGTCCCTGGCCCCCCCGCTGGGCCGCGCACATGCCGCCGGTCATGATTTGCACCCTGCACCCCCCTCTCTTGGACACCCCCCTCTTGGCCGCTCCCGAGTAACACTCGGGTGACTCCTCGGCCGAGACCCTCGGCGAGTTCTCTTGGATGTTCGCTTGCCGGCGGAGCGGCTCACGTTCTTGCACTCTGCTCTCCTGTCCGTGTTCCGACTGCACCCTGGAGGCCCGCCGAAGGCTGCCCCCCCCCCACGGCATCTTAAAACGACGCGAAGATCGGGACAAAATCGGGATATAGCTCGAAATCTTTGAGAATCGGCGGGTTTGGAGGATGTATTGGGCGCCGCGGCCGCTCCAGAGCGTTCCGCAACGCTCTGGAGCGATTTGTCCCGATCCCAGCCCTGTTTTACTCTCTCGGGCCCTGCAGCCCCGCCCGCAGCAGGATGGCCTGTGCTCGTTGGGCCGCCGGCTCGAGCACATGCCAGCGGGGTCCCCGCGAGGGGGGCGTCGGCCACGGAGACCTCCGCAGGCCTCTCTGGGGGCCGGCAGAGGCCGGCCGACGCCAGCATCGCGGGGGCGAGCGCCCCCCGAACATCTTTTGGTATGCCTTGTCCACTCTGCGGCCCCAGGTCGCGACCCCCGCCCTGGGGGCTGCTTGCGCCCCGGATCCACTTTTGATGGCCCCGCGCCCCGGCTCCGGTTCGCGTGAGACTTCCTCGCAATGTAGTTTGGATTCGTGCTCTCGCCTCGATTTGCTCGGGAGTCGTGCTCTCGCCTCAGTGGCCGGCTACATGTTCGGTCCCGACGGCCACGATCCTTTGTTCAAAAATACGTTGAGGTGCACATGGCCGTGCTCTCATCTCAGTGCCTGGTGCTCTCACCCGTGTCCCGTCTGTTCCACTTTGCTGCTATTGGGATGCTTTGCTGGGGTAACTGATGGCCCCTGGACCCGATGACGGGCCCCAGCGGCCAAAATCGAGGACCAACGCTGTGATTGCAAAGATCTTACTACTCAAGAGGCTTGCGCCATGGAGGCCTACGCCATTCCGCCGACCCCCAGGATAATTTCAGAGCTTGCGACGATCGTGGATGCTATCGAAGACGCCTACGGCGAGTCACCGCCGCCCCCTGCCTGTTGGAGTCGCCCATGCGGCCGAGCGTTGTGGCAAGAGCTCTGCCAAGCTCTCGGACCATGTGTTCCCCCAGCCGTTGTGGAAACCCTTCGCGGAACACTTTGGGGAGGATGGCGGGGAAGATCAGGAAGAGGAGGAGGAGGAGGACCTTGTTGGAATGCTCTTGAGGCTTTTAGGAGGGGCTCGGGGGTCCCTTGAGGGGGATCTTGGGGGCTTCGGGGAACTTCTTGGGGGCCTTTCCGGGAGCTCTCGAGAGCCTCCTGGGGCCTCTTGGGGGCGCGTCGGGGGCCTTTGGGGGCGCCTGCTGCCATCTCGGGGGGAAAGGCTCTTAAATGTGAGGCGCACTGCCCCTCCGGTCCCCGTCTTAGGGCCCTCTTGGGGCCCCCGTGGGGCCTTCTTAGGCCATGGGGATCTTCAAGGGGTCTCGTTGGCCGCCTGGGGAACGCCGTGAGTCGGTGCCAGGGCGAAGAGGGCGAGTGTGCTTCAGAGGACATTTCCCCATGGGGGCGACACGATTTTCGCTTCTGGCTCCCTCGGCGGTCTTCGGGGAGCACTCTCGGGCCGTCTGGGGTGCCTGATCGTGGGCCGTCTAGACGTCGTTTCGGGTCGCCGTGGGGCTGCCGTGGGCGATCTGGACACTTCCTTGCGTTGTTTTGGGGCTACTTGGGCGCTCTGTTGGAGCCTGCTTGTTTCGATTCTGGCACGTTTCCTTGCTGGGACGGGGGGGGGCATGAACCGGAAGCAAACTGCAAACGACTGAACGTGCAGAAATCACGCAAGTCGAAAGGCACTTGCACGCTTGTATATTCGTCTGAAGAGGGCACACGCCGGTTCACCCCTGGCAGGCTGGGGCTGGCGGATGTCTTCGGCCAATGAGAGTCGAGTGCTATGTGGCTCCCGGGCAGCACATGTGGCCGCAAGAGGCGCCGAGGGGGCCGGCGAGGGCCCGAGGAGCGATGGGGTGCGAGGGGGAGGAGGAGGAGGAGGAGGAGGAGGAGGAGGAGGAGGAGGAGGAGGAGGAGGAGGAGGAGGAGGAGGGGCCGCGGCTCGACCACGCACGGGGAGGGGGCGGCCGAAAAGGAGCCTTCGAGCCCGAGGCCGCCCGTTGGGGTTCCTTCGGGGCGTGCGCGCGTGCGGGGGGCCCGCCGCTGCGTCTGCGGCTGCTCTCGGAGAGAGAGGCCGCAGGCCCGCGCTCCGC